CTAATTCTAGGGAAGCCAGTTCACTTGAAAATCATCACAAGCACGCCAATAAAACAAAGAACTAGCAGGCCTATGTTGATCATCACTAAAACTTGAATCCAATTTATCAACTTATCCATCTTTCCATCATCAACCGACCTCAGCTTCATCTCTACAGGAGCAGCAACCATATGCTCCAATGCAACATCACTGGGAGCTTCATCAACTGCATGTAGACTCAATCCTTCAACCATCTTCTTGTAACATTCGATCCACTTGAAAAACTTGCAAGAATTTGGCACCTAGTAACAAATGCACATTAGTAACAAAGACCAAAAGACACCAAATGCAACAAATGGAATACTCACATCTTGTTCGTTTTCCTCACATTTGAAGAAAACCTTTCCACCATGCCTCATCGATCTGCACTCGACTCCTGCAGCGCCACACCTAGGGCAACGAACGAGAGGGAGGCCGGCCGCTAAATCCTACAGGCAGCCGAGCATGATATGAGCTACCTTGCGACATTCCCAAATCATCGCTTCCGGCGGCAAGTCTTCGCTGCATGATGACGACGGCTTCCGGCGGCTGCTCTCGGTGTCGGCCAAGCGCCCCTTGTTTCAAAGAGAGGAGGACGGGTTATTCACATTTAATTTGATGGTCAGAGGCGAATTGAAAGCTAAGCTGTGGTAATTAAGACCCCCGGGGGAAAATAGGGATGTCTCCTACGTTACCCATAATATGTAGAAGTATCGACGTAATTTCATAGAGTCATTCGATATGAATGCTACATGAAGAACATAAGCCAGATGATGGAACGCGGAGACCTAGGATGTAGAAGATCATAACATGAGCGATTCGGCAGATTTGGATTCCTTTCCTATATATCCACTTATGTGGTACTTCATCATACGATTCATATAAGATCTATCTGTCTAGAGATCATCATATACATCTAGAAAGCCGTATGCTTTGGAAGAAGCTTGTACAGTTTGGGAAGGGGTTTTTTGAGAGAAAAGAAGAATCTACTTCAACCGATATGCCCTTAGGCACGGCCATACATAACATAGAAATCACACGTGGAAGGGGTGGGCAATTAGCTAGAGCAGCAGGTGCTGTAGCGAAACTGATTGCAAAAGAAGGTAAATCGGCCACTTTAAGATTACCATCTGGGGAGGTCCGTTTGGTATCCCAAAATTGCTTGGCAACAGTCGGAGGGAGGGAGGAGGAGGGCATCGGCAACGCGGATTTACCGCCGCCGCCGCAGAATGGTCACCGCCACCGCCGCCTGCAGCCCTCTCAATCCCCTTCTCTTGTCTCAGTGACCTAATTTCTGAGCCAGGGGCACATTGGTCACAACACAGCCGATTTTGTGCGTTAATCCGGCGAAGATGGAGAATCAGCGAAGCAGCGGGTTGGCACTCCTTGGCGATGGCATTTTAGCGAAGCAACTTTGTGGAGTGGCATTACAGCGAAACCCACTCTTGAGAGTGGCATAATGTCCATTTTCTCATGGGTTGGCATACTAATTGGTATGGAGGCCTTATTCAAATAAATCTAAATTCACTAACTCCTTGCCTTTGTTTTATATTATCACCATGCATGTGTAAATTGTGCTACTATTTTATTTCGGGGTTTTTACAGCTGAAAGTAACTTCGATAAATACTATGGAACATATTATCTTTTTTCAGGTATGCTATCGAGACTTCTTAGTTAATTTGTTTATGCTTTGCACAAGTCAAACATAGATTTATCACACAAGATTTCAGGTAAGTTCAACTATTAGATAATATAACAGTTGCTTCAACAAAAAACATTTTACTGAATCTATATATAATTTTTAAGGGTGATCTATATCTACAGTGTTTGAGAAATAGATTATATTTATTATAACGTGCTTTATATTTCTTATTCATTCCTCCCCTTTTATAACCGTGATATTCTTTTTGATGATATTGATACTATATTTACATACATCCATGAGTAAAGATCATGTAATACAAAGGATAATAATGCTGACGATGCTCATTGACCGAGATATTTCACACTTTCAGTTTAAGATTTCCATATTTCTAATATAGGTGAAAAATAATATGTTATAAATTAAATAGCCCGTGTGAATGCACAGGACCGGCACAAAATACAGCTGTATGCTTATTAATTCCAATTTTGGAATTACATCATGGCGAGTTGTAAAAAGTTGAAAAAAATGAAATTATGAAAAAAAATATATATTTGAGACTGTAAACTAAGATGGATATCTATATAATTTTGAATGAAATAAGAGAAACTTATTATGGATTCTGTTATAATAATTGAGACAGCATGCAGTACACCAGTTCATTGAGTTTTTTTGAATTGAATTCATGAAAATAATTACCAATTTGGATATCTATGATTGAGCCTGCAAACTAAGGTACCTTGGTATATTAGCTCTAAAATTATGATTCTCATAAATTTTGAATTACAAATTATGAAATTATATCATATTTATTTTCCTGTGCTAACTATGCACTTTGAGGTAGTATGCATGTTAATCAAATTGCTCCAACCATGCTTTAATAATAACCCGTGCAACGCACGGGTTGACGACTAGTCTATCTATCTATTATATACTAAAAGTCCATTAATCTTCCTACAAACGCTCTTAAGCCACCAGTTGGCGCTCTAATAAATTAGAGAAATCAAAGAAATTCTGAGAAAAAAGAAAAGCATCTATCCGTTGATTTTAAAATAGTGGGTCCACTATTAGAAACCGTCAGATTAACTATATTGATCTTAAAACGTACAATTCCACACCATCCGTAGGTACGTACGTACGTACGGTTCCATCTCCCTCCCTCCTTTTTCTTTTCATATATATATAATCGAGATAACAGTTAATATAGTTAAATTTTATATAATCATAACTTATATGATTATATTATGATATATCTCTTCCAAAATAAAGTTTACACCACTATATTTTTACCCATTAAATAAAGGTATACGTGAACCCTTTATGTGGAGCATTATTTTCAAATAATACACTATTTAAATAAAGTTTATAAAGTTTATATCGTTACATTCTGTACGCATTAAACTAACAAAGAAATATATTAACTAATTTATACTTAAACGTGCTATTTTAGACTTTTTAATAAAGGCCGGATTAATTTTACGAGTCTTTACAATTATTTGTACCATAAATTATATATCTATTTTTATTTTTCAAATAAATATATAATTTTAATATCTATATTAGATTTATTGCGTTCTAGACCTACATCCATCTTGAGTGCTCCACTAAATAAAAGAAAATATTAAAATTTGTCATTGAAAATCAAAATATGCTAGCTTATTTTTTAATGAAACTGTTAAACCCATTAAAAGTACATTATTAGACATCTAATGACTTTCTACCAACTTAATTAATTTCTTCATAAAAAAACTTTATTAATTCCTCACAACATACACCTGGGGGCTATTTACATATACGAATTGATCTTGATGCTTTTGTAAATAAATGATATTTTAAATTTAAAAGATAAATAAACGATCTTAAAATGATCATAGCATCTAAATCATACATATGATTGCTCCTAGCACTCCTAAACACTTCTAAGTCGCTATGTGGCATTCTATTAATTACAAAAACACTCATATAATCGACCATCGGTTTCCACTTAAACCGATGGACCCAATTTTTATACCATCATATCTATCTTTTCGGAAAAAACAAATTCTATCAGAATCTCTGTCTGGCTCACTGCATAACATGCATGTGTGCGCTCCTATACCTTTTAAACCGGTAGAACCATTGTTTCTAACAAGTGTTTATTCATGGTACATGACATTTTAAAAATATTACTGTGCAATGATATTTCGACGTTATTGTATTCCTGCTAGGTTGCGTGGAGCCTCTCATTCACTCTACATGAAATGTTCATAGGTAGATCGCCTCTCAAAATATATCAATCATATTAGGCTATATAAACCCGTGCATTTTTTGTGTAGATTAATGTCCCACCCAATTCATCCTTTAACATATTATGATAATATATTATACAATTAAAAAAATAAAAACACCTTAATTTTTATTTTACACTTACTTTTACTTTCGTTGACATGTTTTCTAAAGAAAATAAATCTACCTTTTTTTTAAAATGATGAAGAATATTATAAATAATTACTTATAGATACTACTTATATTTGATATAATATAAATCTAATAGGTTAGAATATTATTAAAGAATTAATTAATGCTGACAAAAATAATGTATGGAGAAATTGTGGCAGATGTTCTCCTGTTAAATGTCGCTTTTATAAATACCTCAAACTTGGCGTACGACGCATGCCCGCGTGAATGCGCGGGCTACCTTCCTAGTTAAATAAATTGGACGTGATATATGATGTTGTATGCTTGCATGAGGTTAAATAAATAATTATTGCTAATGGGTGATGATGTGGCATGGTTATATGGCTATAATTATAACTTTATGAAAATATAGGTTAGATTGTGGCATGATTGCTGATTGCCATGGTTGACCTATATATAGTTGCACGACCAGTGGAGCCCCCTATTATAGAGAGACACGTCCAAACAAAGACCTCGACCTCTTTCCTTCAACGAAGCTTCAACGACGCGCGCGTTCTCACACCTTCTTCCACGCTGAAACGGTGTGGAACTGTGGATCATTAATTTACGCGCTAAATCACCGGTTAGGCCTCGTTTAGATCTAAAAATTTTGGTAAAAAATGTCACATTAAATGTTTAGATATATGTATAGTGTATTAAATGTGGGGGAAAAAATAATTGCACAGTTTACACGTAAATTACGAGATAAATCTTTTGAGTCTAATTACACCATGATTTAACAGTGAACATTTGCTAATGACGGATTAATTAGTTTTAATAAATTTATCACACAGTTTACATGCGAAATCTATAATTTGTTTTGTTATTAGTCTACGTTTAATAATTCAAATACGTGTCCGTATACTTCGAGACCTTTACACCCAAGGAACACCCTTATATAAGCTGGGGCCAGAGAAGCGACGATGGAGGGAGAGACATACACATCCACAATCGGCAGCTATTAATTACACAGAGAGCTCCTAGCTTGCCAGCTTGATTAAGCAAAGGAGTGACGTCGTACTGCACTGCGCAGCCATGGCGACTCTGGAGACGTGGGTAGGGTTCGGGTCGGCCATGGCCGGCGTGGGCTTGCTTTGGTCCCGGATGCCGGAGCACGTCCACGAGGAGGCTAGGTACATCATCAGTAGCGTGGTCCCCATGGTTATGTCCTACTTCAACCCCTACGAGCAGATCACCGTGTCCGAGTACGGCGAGGAGCGGTTCCGGCGGAACAAGATGTTCGACGCCGTCTCCACCTACCTGAGGAGCGCGTGCCTGGGCAGCGCAACCAAGCTCAAGGCCAAGCTCGGCAACAACATCGGGGATGACCCGCTTGTGATTCTAGACGAGAACCAGGAGGTCGTCGACTGCTTGGATGGTGCTCGCATGTGGTGGAGGCTGTACCCCAAGGCCTCCAAGAACACAGGGAGCACCATCATCAGCATGTTCCCCGGGGACACGGACGAGCCGCGGTGCTACAGGCTGGTGTTCCACAAGCGCCACCGCCAGCTCGTGCTCAAGACCTACCTGCCCGGCATCATCCGGCGGTGGCGCGAGCTAACCGCCAAGGACCGGCAGAGGCTGCTGTTCACCAACCACTCCAAACAAGGGGAGATCAGCATGTGGACCAGTGTCCCGTACAATCCCCCGTCGACGTTCGACATGCTCGCCATGGACCATGCCAAGAAGGTTGAGATTATGGACGATCTCAGGGCGTTCCAGAAGGGGAAGGAATACCACTCCAAGGTCGGCAAGGCGTGGAAGCGGGGCTACCTTCTGTATGGGCCACCGGGCACTGGCAAGACCACTATGATTGGGGCTATGGCCAATTTCCTCGACTACGACGTCTACGACCTCGACCTAACATCTGTCAAGGATAACGCCGAGCTGCGGAAGCTCTTCCTCGATACGACGGACAAATCCATCATCGTTATCGAGGACATCGACGCCATCGAGGTCGAGCTCACTACCAAGCGCAAGGGCAAGAAGATGGACAACAGCGACGAAGTCGACAACAACCATGTGCTGGTCGAGCTTTCCAACAAGACTGATGATAAAAGCAAAGTGACGCTGTCAGGCCTACTCAGCTTCGTCGATGGGCTGTGGTCGGCGTGCGGCAGCGAGAGGGTGTTCGTGTTCACAACGAACCACGTTGACAGGCTCGACCCGGCGCTGATTCGGCCGGGGAGGATGGACAAGCACATCGAGATGTCCTACTGCCGCCTCGATGCCTTTAAGGTGCTGGCCAAGAGCTACCTGGACATCACCGAGCACTCGCTTTTTGGTGAAATCGGGAGACTGCTCGACGAGACCGACACGACTCCGGCAGATGTTGCCGATAACCTCATGCCGCGGGGTAAGAGGAACGGTGAAATCAGTCGACTGATCGATGAGATCGACGCACCGGCAGACGTGGCCGGTAATCACATGCTACGGTGCAAGAGGAAGAGAGACGCGGACGAGTGCCTGGCAGGTTTAGTGGAAACACTGAAGAAGGCCAAGATGGAATCAGCAACACCTCCTATGGACACAATCGAGGAAGAGGCCAACAAAGAGGAACAAACCTAACACAGAAGAAAGCTAGACAGGGGCTGATACATGATGAGGGCTGCTACTTCTTGGCCTCCTCGGTTTGCGTGTCCTATTTTACCTGACTTCCGTGTAATGGTGCGTACGGGTTTATTAGTCACTTAAGCTAGCATAAGCCATACCATAAAATGGCAAAATATATAAAAATAGTGGTGTATTACGACTTATGTTCTGGATCTATTATTTCACGCTCCATAATTCGTCTGGTCAACCTTGTAAATTCTGATAATTATATGTTTATATATATGTGTGGAGATTATGGATATCCCATATCTACACGGCGACGGTATTTGGGCTGAATACAGGATACCGAATATAGATAGAATATCTTATTTGTATCTCGGGTTTGTTTCTTAACTTGTACATCAAGGAAACACCTTGAGACTTAGTCGGTTACGGCTGTATTTTATCTGTATCTACATATTCCGTTAGGGATATAGATTATCTTTTGTAACACGGACTCCTTCCCATATATAAGGGGGGTCCGGGTGCCTCTAGGGGCGGATGTTGATTTTCTCCAAATCATACAATCAATAATACACTCGGCGGATTCATCCCCGGACAGGAGTAGGGTATTACTTCTTGAATAAGAAGGCCTGAACCTGTATAAATCCTTTGTCTCCAAACCCATACACTTTTCTAGCTTGATAGCCACCCCCTTTTATTATTGCCGAAATCTAGTTTCGACAGTTGGCGCGCCAGGTAGGGGTAGCGTCAAGCTTTTCGCCGATCAGTGCAATGGGTTCCGTCTCCGGCATCGACGACCTCGTCTTCCCACCCGGGCAGACGTTTCGGTTCGGCAGCCTCGACTTCGTCACCAACAACTTCGGCAAGATCTCTCTCCTTGACTCGGGGTCAAACCAGTCGGGAGAGAACCGGATTTCAGTCCCGTTTGGACTCCCAAACGCGGCTAAAAGTTACCCCAAGACCATCTCAATCGAGTCGGCTTCAAACCACTCGGGCGAGATCGCATCTTCTCCAACGACACCAGATCAAGATGATGGGGCTTACCCACCGGTCTTGATGAAGCTCCCCGATGATTTGGCGGCCATCTCCATCACGACAGCGTCTCCATCCCGTAGGCCTAGGCGGAAGTCGGCTTCAACACCGATCTCGCCTAGCTTCAGGGAAGTCGGCGTCATCCTCCAACCACTCGGCACGGTTTCGACGGATCAGCTGGATGGCTACTACAGCTCTCCCACCGTCGACTCGCGCCCCACCGACATCGTGGAATACGACGAGTTCAGCTCTCTCTACAACGACCCGGATCTCGACGACTTCGACGAAAGCCTAGATGACAACTACACCCCTCTCTTCTTCGGCGTCTTCATGGCCAATAACGAGACGGAGGAGCAACGCCAAGCCCGGGAGACCGAAGCACGTCGCGAGACTGAGCGTCGCCGACTGGAGGAGGAGCATCAAGCACAAGAACAAGAACGGCAACGGCGTGAGCAGCAGGAGCGTGAGCGGACCGCGAAGGAGGCTGAGGATCGACGGCAGCGAGCTTTGGAAGCAGGGCGCCGAGCGCGTGATCTCATCGGCCAACAAGATGTTGAAGGAACGCCGGTTTTCCGCACCCCTCAACAGAATGCGGTTGCCGCGATCACCCTCCTCGACACCCTCCTCAAAGAAAACGAGCTCAATCAATCTGATCACGTCGTCAACATCTTGAACCAGACGAAGACCATGATCGCGGCTTCAGTCCCAGTCAACTCCGAAAGCGTCTACACGCCGACTGGCAGCCGAGTTCCCCACTTCCGATCTCATGACTACCGTCATCCAAGCCTCAGCATCACCGGCGCAGGATCCAATCGCAGGAGCAGGGGTCACGACGAGCGGTCCATTCACTCGCCTCCCGATCATCATAGGGAGCGCCGAGTGGAACGGCCTCGCTCACCACCTCGTCGCCGCCCCGTCGATCTTCGCGACACAATCATACAACGCCGAGCAGCTCGAGGCCATCATCATTCGCCGGACCGCCACGACGACGACCTTGACGGAGTAGCAGCCTTCACCGATGACCTGCGTCGAGTGGATTGGCCAGCCGGCTTCAAGCCGACTGGAATAGAGAAGTACGACGGTACCACTAACCCCGAATCGTGGCTTACCGTCTACGGTCTCGCAATCCGCGCAGCAGGAGGAGACAACAAGGCCATGGCGAACTATTTACCAGTGGCTTTAGCAGATTCCGCCCGATCTTGGCTCCATGGATTGCCCCATGGTACAATTGGATCTTGGGCTGAATTACGCGACCACTTCATCGCCAACTTCCAAGGCACCTTCGAGCGTCCCGGCACACAATACGACCTCTACAACGTTATTCAGAAGTCCGGAGAATCCCTTCGAGATTACATCCGGCGATTTTCTGAACAACGTAACAAGATCTCCGACATCACCGACGACGTTATCATCGCCGCATTTACCAAAGGGATTCGCCACGAAGAATTGGTCGGCAAGTTCGGGCGCAAGCCTCCCAGGACAGTCAAGCTCATGTTTGAAAAGGCCAACGAGTACGCCAAAGCTGAAGACGCCGTCACCGCATCAAAGCAGTCGGGTCCCAGTTGGAAGCCAAACAAGGGTACGCCGGCTACGGGAGGAGGTGGAAGTAACAACCATAAGGACCGCAAGCGTAAGCCTGAGGAACTTGTTGCAACCGCCACTCACTCTTCTCGACAGCGTTCGCGCGTCAACACGTTCGACAAGATCATGAACTCCCAATGCCCGCACCATCCTAACTCCAACCACGTGGCCAAAGATTGTTTCGTCTACAAGCAGTTTGCGGAGCAATACACCAAGACTACACGGAAAAACTCCGACGAAGAACAAAGCACGTCGAGGAAGAAGGACGACGGCGACACCCCGGCAGGATTTCAAGACCACCGCAAGGAACTCAACCATATCTTCGGCGGCCCCCTGGCTTATGAGTCTAAAAGGAAGCAAAAGTTGACCGAACGGGAGATCAATGCTGTTCAGCCCGACACGCCCCAATATCTTCGATGGTCAGAGATTGCAATCAAGTTTGACCGCTCGGATCATCCTGACCGAGTGGTCCACCCGGGGCGGTACCCCCTGGTACTAGACCCAGTGGTCCGCAATGTCAAGCTTCGCAGAACCCTCATCGACGGTGGCAGTGCACTCAATATCCTCTTCGCCAAGACCTTGGATGATATGCAGATTCCTCGCTCCGAGCTAAAACCAAGCAATGCGCCTTTTCACGGCGTAATTCCAGGATTATCCGCAACTCCACTCGGCCAGATCACTCTCCCGGTCACCTTTGGCACCCGGGAAAACTTCCGCACAGAGAATATCAGCTTTGAAGTCGCCGATTTCGAGACAGCATACCATGCCATACTCGGACGCCCGGCGTTAGCCAAGTTTATGGCCGTTCCGCACTACACTTACATGATGATGAAGATGCCTGGTCCCCGAGGAGTCCTATCCCTACGGAGCGACATCAAACAAGCCGTCACATGCGACAAGGAGAGTTGCGACATGGCCCAAACCCGCGAGATGGCGTCTGCCCGAGAGGATATCCGACTGGCTGCAGCCGCGACGAGCGAAGGAGAAGTGCCCGCTACCAAGACTTCAAAAAGTGGAGAAAGCGAAGCCAAGACTAAAAAGATTCCCCTAGATCCCTCTGATTCTACTAAAACTGCTGTAATAGGCGCCGAGTTAGATTGTAAATAGGAAAGCGCGCTCATCACCTTTCTTCAGAACAATAAAGATATCTTTGCGTGGAAACCATCTGATATGCCCGGTATTCCTAGAGAGGTGATTGAGCACTCCTTACATGTCAAAGAAGATGCCAAGCCTATCAAACAACGACTCCGCCGATTCGCACAAGACAGAAAGGACGCGATCAAGGAGGAATTAACCAAGCTGTTAGCGGCAGGCTTCATTAAAGAGGTCCTTCATCCCGACTGGCTGGCAAACCCGGTTCTAGTATGGAAGAAAACGGGGCAATGGCGTATGTGTGTTGATTATACTGACCTCAACAAATCTTGCCCTAAAGATCCTTTTGGGTTGCCTCGCATTGACCAGGTAGTCGACTCGACCGCCGGCTGTGAGCTTCTCAGTTTTTTGGACTGCTACTCGGGGTATCATCAGATCCGACTGAAGGAATCCGACTGCTTGAAGACTTCATTCATCACACCCTTTGGAGCATATTGCTACGTCACCATGCCGTTCGGACTAAAAAATGCAGGAGCAACTTATCAACGTATGATCCAGAGATGCTTCTCAACACAGATTGGCCGCAACGTTGAAGCCTATGTGGATGATGTTGTCGTCAAGACCAAGCAAAAGGATGATTTGATCTTGGATCTAGAAGAAACCTTCGCGAGCATCCGCGCTTTCAGGATGAAATTAAACCCTGAAAAGTGCACCTTCGGAGTACCGTCAGGGAAGCTGCTTGGTTTTATGGTGTCTCATAGGGGCATCCAAGCCAACCCGGAGAAAGTTACTGCTATCCTCAACATGAAACCGCCAAGTACCCAGAAAGATGTTCAGAAGCTGACTGGATGCATGGCGGCGCTCAGCCGATTTGTTTCAAGACTTGGCGAGCGGGGGATGCCCTTCTTTAAGCTACTAAAGAAAACAGACGACTTCTAGTGGGGACCCGAAGCACAGAAGGCCATGTTTCTGCAAGTAGTGAAAGAATATTTCAGTTCAGTGCAATATTAGATCTATACATAGTGAAACATTATAAGTACACTAGTTGAAACATTTTTCCGTGGAACAAAAAATGAAACGAATTCCCTTAATAGAGGGTTTCCAAAATATACGGGTGATTTTGTTGCAAAAGAATATTTCGTTCACTGCAACATTAGATCTATACATAGTGAAACATTATGAGTACAATAGGTGAAACATTTTTGGTGGAACAAAAAATGAAACGAATTCTCTTAATAGAGGGTTTTCAAAATATATGTGGGTGATTTGTTGCAAAAGAATACTTTAATTCACTGCAACATTATATCTATACATAGTGAAACATTGTGAGTACACTAGGTAAAACATTTTTTGTGGAACAAAAAATGAAACGAATTCCCTTAATAGAGGGTTTCTAAAATATATAGGTGATTTGTTGCAACGGAGTATATGGTGGGGACACGTAGCAGATAGATAGGAACACATCGTGGGGCCAGGGCGCACCCGCGCTTCGTGGGGGAGGGGGAGCGACCGAGGCGTAGCATTTTCGATGTACTTACATTGTAGGTATGCAATCCTCCCTCTCTCCTTCCTATTTTGTAACTAACAATTTTTATTTAGGGTCG